GCACTTGAGGAGATATGCTCAGTATTATACTCACTCCAAGATCTTTTCCCTTGAGGGAGGTTTGCAGTCTTTGGCCATCTAGACTATACTCAGTCTGCGGTCTTCTTTGCCTTTCCCCGATCTTCATGACTTTGCATTTGGCAAGGTTAAATTCAAGGAGCCAGTTGCTGGACCAGGCTTGTAGCCTGTACAGGTCTCTTTGTAGTCCTGCCTGATCCTCATCCTATTTAATTCTCCTCATTAACTTCACATCAACTGCAAATAGTGACAATTGTGAGTACATCCCTTTAGTCATGTCATTCGCATATACCAAACACAGCACAGGTCCTAGGATTCGCCCCTGTGGAGCCCTGCTCCTCACAGACGCCCACTTTGACACATCGTCACATACTATGCCTCGTTATTGCCTCCCTATCAGATATTCTCTGATCCATTGCAGTGCTTTTCCTGTTATGCATACCTGATTGCATTAACCTCTTGTGAGGAACTGTGTCAAAGGCCTTCTTGCAGTCCAAAAAAATGTAATCTATCCACCCCTCTCTGTCATCTTACTTCTGTTACCTTGTCATAAAACTTCAGTTCGTTTGTGACACAGGATTTTCCTTCCCTGAAACCATGTTGGTTGTTGTTTATAAGTTTGTGTCTTTCTAGGTGCTCCACCACTCTCCTCCTGACAATCTTCTCCATGACTTTGCATATTATACACATCAGTGACACAGGTCTGAAGTTTAATTCTTTGACTGTTTCGGTCATACATGTACCATCCGACTTACAACCGAGTTCGGTTCCGAGAAACCGGTAGTAAGTCGAAATGGACGTAAGTCGAACCTTACTACTGAATGTCAACATCACATTTTTGTAATGACTTTATTTTATTGTTTTATTTTGGTATTTCATTTTTTACTTTACTTTTTATGCTGTTAGTACTGTATTTTATACTGTAAGGTTTAGGATAAACACTGTACAATACAAACAGTTGTTTATTTCCCAGAAATTTGGCATTGAAAACAAGGTCGTAAGTCGAAAGGTCGTATGTCGAGCAGGTCGTAAGTCGGATGGTAGGTGTATATATACGTCTTACGAGCCACCGTGTTTGACGTGTATATATACTCATAAATTCTAGTGGCTTCAAATCAAGCAGGAGAAAGCTGGTAGGCCTACATGTGAGAGAATGGGTCATGTGGTCAGTGTGCACCATATAAAAAAAATCCTGCAGCATGCAGTGCATGAGAAAAAAAAATCCGACCATTTTTGTGGATTAAAACACCGGCTTTGTGGTATGGCGATGCTCAAAAGTAAACAAATGATGTCATTGTCCAATAAATGTTGAACTAGCCATTCTAATATGCAGTCATGAATGGGTTGACATTATTTATACAATTACAATATTGCAGTAGTCTGCATAACAGTAAATCTTCTATTTTTTGTTTGAATAAAAATTCAAAATAGAAAGCAAGAGTAATATCAGAGGGGCCTGGAGATGTGACTGATGAACAAAGAAAATGTTATTGTAGAGTCAGGAATGTCTGCATTGTTCATTCTGGACCCTATTTTGAAATTGGCATGATTGCAAATTTCTGACCATGTTATTGGGTAGTTGAAATCAGTAAATGGGCAGTTTCTTGTACTCAATTGATAGAACAAATGGAGTACTAAAGAAATATCTATGAGCTTGGTCAACTGGAACAATGGAATTAGCTAAAGATAGGGCTCAAAGTGGGTGAAATCGCTGATTTGTAAATATCGCCAAGGTCACTAACTTCGCGAGAGCGTAATTCCGTAAGTTTTCCATCAAATTTTGTTCTTTTGGTGTCTTACCATCGGGAAAAGATTCTCTATCATTTCATAAGAATTTTTTTTTTTTTTCAAAAATTTTTCGACACCAGGAGACACCTCAGGATTTGGGGATTGACAGACAAGGGGTTAATGCCCTGTGTCTGTCTCCTTTCTCAAAAATTGAGACTACATTTGCCATCTTCCATATCTCAGGTAATTGCCCAGTTTCAATGGATATGTTAAAGATTTTTGTTAGTGGCACACACAGCATTTCTGCTCCCTCTCTAAGGATCCACAGAGAGATGTTGACTGGCCCCACCGCCTTTGAGGTATCAAGTTAACATAGCAGCTTCTTCACCCCCTCCTCGGTTGTGTTTATTTCATCCAGCACTTGTTGGTGTACCTCCCTATTCTGACTTCCTGGAGTCCTTCCTATGTGTGTGTGTGTATACTCACCTAATTGTGGTTGCAGGGGTCGAGACTCAGCTCCCATGTGAGTGTGTGTACTCACCTAGTTATGGTTGCAGGGATCGAATCATAGCTCCTGGCCCTGCCTCTTCACTGGTCGCTACTGGGTCACTCTTCATGCTCCATGAGCTTTATCTTACCTCTTCTTAAAGCTATGGATCCTGCCTCAACTACATCACTTCCCAGACTATTCCACTTCCTGACAACTCTGTGACTGAAGAAATACTTTCTAATGTCCCTGTGATTCATCTGAGTCTTCAACTTCCAACTGTGACCCTGTCCACCTTGTCGATTCATCTCTGTATTTTATATGTCATTATCATATCCCCCCTATCTCTCTTGTCTTCCAGTGTCATCAAGTCAATTTCCCTTAGCTTCTCCTCATAGCTCTGGGACTAGTCTTGTTGTAAACCTTTGCACTTTTTCTAGTTTTCTCACATGCTTGGCTAGGTGAGGGTTCCAAACTGGTGCTGCATACTCCAATATGGGCCTAACATACACAGTGTACAGGGTCTTGAATGACTCCTTGTTTAGATGTTGGAATGCTGTTCTTAGGTTTCCTAAGTGCCCGTATGCTGCAGCAGTTATTTGGTTGATGTGCGCCTCAAGAGATGTGCCCAGTGTTATATTCACCCCAAGATCCTTTTCCTTGAGTGAGGTTTGTAGGCTCTGGCCCACTAGATTGTACTCTGTGGTCTTCTTTGCCCTTCCCCAATCTTCTTGACTTTGCACATGGTGGGGTTGAACTTCAGGAGCCATTTGCTGAACCAGGCCTGCAGCCTGTTGTCTAGATCCCCCTGTAGTTCTGCCTGGTCCTTGTCCAATTGAATTTTTCTCATCAACTTCACATCATCCACAAACAGTGACACTCTGGAGTCTATTCCTTCCGTCATGTCGTTCACAAATACCAGAAACAGCACCAATCCTAGGAATGATCCCTGTGGCACCCCACTCATTATAGGTACCCACTCTGACACCTCGCCATGTACCATGACTCGCTGATGTCTTCCTGATAGGTATTCCCTGATCCATTGTAGTGCCTTCCCTGTTGTCTCTGCCTGGTCCTCCAGCTTTTGCACTAATCTTTTGTGTGGAACTGTGTCAAATGCCTTCTTACAGTCCAAGAAAATGCAATCTACCCACCCCTCTCTCTCTTGTCTTACTGCCATCACCCTGTCATAGAACTCCAGTAGGTTTGTGACACAGGATTTCCCGTCCCTGAAACCATGCTGGCTGTCGTTAATAAGCTCATTTCTTTCTAGGTGCTCCACCACTCTTTTCCTGATAATTTTCTCCAAGACCTTGCATACTATACATGTCAGTGACACTGGTCTGTAGTTTAATGCTTCGTGTCTGTCTCCTTTTTAAAAACTGGGATTGCATTTGCTGTCTTCCATACTTCCAGTAGTCACCCTGTTTTGATAGATGTGTTGAAGATAGTTGTTAGTGGTACACAAAGCACCTCTGCTCCCTCTCTCAGGATCCACGGAGAGATGTTATCCGGCCCCATCGCCTTTAAGGTATCTAGCTCACTTAGCAGCCTCTTCACTTCTTCCTTGGTTGAATGTATTGTATCCAACACTTGATGGTGTACCCCACCGCTCCGCCTTTCTGGAGGCCCTTCTATCTCCTCTGTGAACACTTCTTTGAATCTCATGTTGAGCTCATCACATACTTCATGGTCATTTATTGTGACCTCCCCTCCTTCCTTCCTAAGCCTGATTACCTGGTCCTTGACTGTTGTTTTCCTCCTGATGTGGCTGTACAACAGCTCTGAGTCAGATTTGGCTTTCGTTGCTATGTTATTCTCGTATTGTCTTTGGGCCTCCCTTCTTACCTGTGCATGTTCATTTCTGGCTCTAAGACTGCTCTCCTTATTCTCCTGGGTCTTTTGCCTTCTATACTTCTTCCATTCCCTAGCACACTTGGTTTTGGCCTCCCTGCACCTTTGGGTGAACCACGGGCTCATCCTCGCTTTTTCATTATTTCTGTTACCCTTGGGTACAAACCTCTCCTCAGCTTCCTTGCATATTCTTGCCACATATTCCATCATGTCATCTACTGACTTCCCTGTGTGTGTGTGTGTGTGTGTGTGTGTGTGTATGTGTGTGTATGTGTGTGTGTGTGTGTGTGTGTGTGTGTGTGTGTGTGTGTGTGTGTGTGTGTGTGTGTGTGTGTGTGTGTGTGTGTGTGTGTGTGTGTGTGTGTGTGTGCACGTGCCTACATATGGTTGCAGAAGTCAAGTCTCAGCTGATGGCTTCAGCTCTCAACTTGCCACTTGCCAGATATACTTCCTCCTAGCCCTGTTGTGCCTACTCTTACAACTATGTATGGCCACTGCCTCCACATCTTCATGGAGATTATTCCATTTCTTGACCACCCTCAGACTGAATAATATATCTTAACATTTCTGTAGCTGACGTGTATGTTAGTTATTGGTTGTCAATGGCACTGCTTGTCAATAGACACATGGCCTGTTCTGCATGCGTGTGTCTGATTTTTGTTAGTTATAGATTGTCAAAAGTCACTTGTCAGTAGATATTTGGCCTATTTTGTGTGTGTGTTTATGGGCTAGTTACCAGTTATTGAAGGCACTTGTCGAAAGATGCTTGGCCTTTTTTGAGTATGTGTGTGAAGATGCATGTGCATGCAGGATCCTTGTTGGCAGATGACACTGCTATTGTCTAGTTAAATTTAACATCTACCTGTAGTGTTTTGTTTACTTGTAGAGAAAGAGAGAGGGAAATCTAGATAAATATTGTACATACATTTATTTATACAAAAAGATTCTATAGTTAATTTTCATTTGGAGTACTGAGGTATGCATTAATAGTTATTTACCAGCAGGTTTTCTTGACTATATTACGCATGTAGACCAGAAAAATCTTTTGTAAATTATCTACTTGATCCTATGCTTGCTGGATTGGAGACATTTGACTGTAATAACCACTGAACATCCAATAGCTGTGTGTTCACTTTAACAACAGATTGGAACAACTATTATATGAATCATGTCAGCATAGCAAACACTACCCTGACTGTGGATTACTACTCTTGTAAGTTTTTGCTGTCATCTTAACTAGTCAAACAAGGAAATTTCTTGTGTAACTATATTCATTCAAAGTTCAAAGAGTTAACAACCTTACTATTTTCTTAACCAGTTCACAATGTCTAATACTGTCCTAAAACTTCTTTGCAGTAATATATACAATAATCTTTCATACTATAAAAACCTAGAATTATTATCACCAAAATGATTTATACACATGTAGTGTAAATTAAAAGCAAATTAAACAAAAATTTAGCATAGCCTCCTAGTAAAATCCTTATGATAAATCATAAAGGAAACAAAGATTCAGCACTGTACTTCAAATAAGATTTACTAAACCTCTTTGATAACTATACTTAAAGTAATAAGAATAATGAAGTGGAATCTTTACCATCTGCCACTTTTATTTTAATTTTAACTAACCTCAAATATCCAAACAGTTTTGTTGAAAAGTATCATTTGCATTGCAGGCAGGCAAGAATGAATGTGTGTATTGGCAATAGTAGCAGAGGCCCTAAAATCAATATATACTCAATACATTTTCATTTTTTCCCTCTTTTTACAAGAACAATATTTATGCTTTCACTAGCAATGAAGAACTAAAAAAACTGTCTGGGGCTTAATATTCATGAGTCTGATGTTTTGTATATCATAATGGCATCACTGCTCATCTTAAGAGACATGCACACACTGAGTGGATTTCCACCTGCCACAGCCTTGGTGCTACTTGTATCACCACCTCAAATAAGTTACATTTATTTTTCATCAGTCCTGTTGTGATAAGCATGGATCTTATCTATGTTTTACCATTCAGTAGATCATGAATGTGCACATTATTCACAATGAAATAAAATGGAAAGCTCAAGCATTGCTCAAAATCACTTGGGTTCAAGAAAGCAATTCTCATGACTGATTAACAAATTGCACTCCCTCAGTTTGAGACCTATGCTCCTAGTAATGCAACCAGCACTCACACATCCATGTTATTTGTAGCTATAACTGTGGACATCCCCACTTTTATTATTCTCTTGCCTTTAGTGTATCATCCCCTCCATCTTTCCTCACCTCACTCATTTTCATCCTTTTTTTTTTCTACCTCCACCTACGTAAATTTTTCATAATGGTCATGTACTTTGGAAAAAATTAAAACTAATGCATTTGGGAATCAAAGTGTGAATGGCATCATTAAGAAGAGTTCAATGTCCTCCCTTTCCTACTTGCATCTTCCTTGATCCCCTTAAAAGGGAGTGCCTTGATTCTGGTAAAAGACTTTTAATTCAAGGAAGATAAGATTCTTTTTTCTTCCTTGTAACAAATTTAATTACTCTCCTTCCTCCCCCACCCTAATCTCCCATCCATAGGCTCTGAATACCCTTATGGATTTAGTACTTCCCAATGAATAAAATATAAATAATTTTTTCTCAAGCACCCACCTTCTCAAACTGAATATTCTCATCACTATCAATATACAAGGTAACATGGAAGGATTACCCATTATTTTTGTCTTGTATACAAGTGTATTTTATTATAATCATTTATTTTTCCACATGAGTCTTGATTAGGTGGTGGATACCTCAGTTTTAAGCCAAAATCAGTTATCCACAGAAGGCAAAGAATGAACATATACAGAGAGTAGAGATTCCACTAGCATTAATATTTTTGGTTGACACAAAAAACTGAAAAATAATATCTATATAAGTCAATTCACTATAGAATTATAGGCAAGGCTGTGTGGCAAGGGTGAGGGCAGGTTGGTGGTGGTGTAGGCCACTTCAACACAGTCACTGCGGTAACATTTGATTGCCTCTCAAAATATTCATCATTGTAATTTATAAATGACATCATTACATATAACAAATATTAATATCATATTACCCCTCTATTAAACTGAAGCTTACAGGCATCTAATACATTTATGTTTTCACAAAATAATGTACATTCTAACAACCTCAGGCTCTGACTGGCACACTAATATAACCTGAAACATTAAACATATAATACATTCCCCAGTTGAATTGGTAACACTTAACTAATTTAGTAATTTTACCTACTAATGTATGAATCCATTGCATTTCCTCAACACAATAAATACCACAGTATTATAAACCCTACAGAGCACCCACATCAATTGTAGGTTTAACAACCCGGTTTTGCTACAAAGACATTAAATTTTTTAAACAATTGTGCATTAATTTATGCACATGTTCAAGATTTTCATATGCATATGTGAAACATGTAATGTTACACCTTACTATATATCTGTAGATCAACTGCCACAGAAATAGTACAAACAAATGTGCCACTCCATGCTTGTGCCTTGGACTGGGCACATCTGTACAGCAGATTTAGTTCTTGATTATTTATAAGTCATAAACCATTAATGAGCTTATGAACAAACCCACATTCATGTATTTATACTGTAGTTTCGATACAATAGTCTTCCATTAAAGACTTAACCCAATATCATACATCACTGTCCACATCAGTCTCACTTCTTGGCTGTCCAAAGTTTCTTGTAATACTTTCTGACATTGATCTAATATTTTGTAAATTAATTCCGTCAATACCATCCAAATCCACATCAGATAATGGTTCTGTATCAAAGCCATCCGAGGCTATTGCACTTGGACGATAGTTATCATACTCTGACTCATAATATGCATTAATCTGATCAAATGAAATGATTGCATCGGAATCAAATATTCTGGAAGAAGCACGAGAAGACATACTGGTGTCATCCATATCACCATCATACTGATGAGGGTCGTTATATATGGAATTCACATCACTCAAGGCACCTAGAAAAAAAATTGGAATTATGCAGAACAATATAAGAAAGAAAAAGCTTTATTACATTCTATATACACTCAATACATTGTCATTTTTCCCTCTTTTTTACTAGAACAATATTTATGCTTTCACTAGCAATGAAGAATTAAAATAACCATTTTGGACTTAATATTCCTAAGTCTAATGTTCTGTATAACTAGGTCTTGGTTAATGTGAATAATGAATCCTATAAAATGATCTCATTATTTGAAGTCATACTATTCAAATTATATTAATTTTTTGTGCATGATCTGAAGTGTGTTGGGAAAAACTAACATTAATTTTGCACTAAATTGAAATTTGCACTATTCATATATGCACTAACCGAGACCTGGCTGTATATCATAATGGTATCACTACTCATCTTATAAAATCTATGTAAGTTTTTGTATGAGATGCATTACTTGACATACAAAAATTAACCTATTAACTGAATTCTTCAAACAAAAATACAGTTATAAGTCTTTAATCATGAGGATAACACTGACAGAGCTACATTTTACTCTGAATGTGGAAGTTGAAAAAATTTTGCTCTTATCCCAAAAATTAATGTTTTAAATGTCTCCCCCCCCCACCGAGGTCAGTGGTCACAAAAGATCATCCTGTCCTAGCTGTCTGGGAGATTAGTGTGGAGCATTATAGAGCACCATGGCTTGCTGTAGTGTTTTGAAATCTCAGCTTAAAGTGTTGAAGAAGGAGATTCTACTTCTCCAAGAGGAAAATAGGAAGCTGAAAATTTGCCTAGATGGATTTGGGAGTGGATGGAAAAAGGATGGAATCAGTGTGGATGAAAAGGTTACCAGCAATGAGTTGAAGAGTGGCAACTGCTTCAAGTGGAATGTGGTCTCTACTAAAGGTAGAAGTATCAAGATAAGAAAGCTTAACAGAGAATATCTGAGGGTAGGAAATCGATTCTCTATTCTCCAGGATGAGTGTACTTCAGTAAGAACATTCTGGTTGTGGGTGACTCACAGGTAAGATATTTGGACTGTGCTTTCTGTAACAGAGACAGGAACATTAAACAGAGAGTGTGTTTCCCAGGAGCTGGTGTTGATGACATCGTCAACAAGTTGGATAATATTATATCAGGTAATGGGAACAAGCCCATCATCTGTCTTAGTGCTGGTGGAAATGATATCAGGAAGGGCAGGAGACAAGAGCTGCTGGATAAGCACACTTCAACCATAAATGTAATTAGGTCTAAGGGAGGGGTCTCAATCATATGTAGCATCTTGCCTAGACAGGGAGTGGGCAGTGAATGGATGTATAGGGCAATTGGTGTAAATTCCTGGCTAGACAGGTACTGCAAGGAATTTGCAATCCCATTCATTGATAACTGGGACAAATTTTTTGGCAAACGTGATATGTATGCAAAGGATGGGGTACATCTCTCAGGGGCCGGAATGGTTACAACAGCCAACTCGATTGAGGGGGCCATTGCTGACTTGTCTAACACTTTAAATTGATAGATTATAGAGGTATGGGTGTGTGTGGGAAACAATCAAGCTGAGGAACAAGAGTTGAAAATAGCAGATTAGAAGCATTGGACACAGAATCTGTTTGGCTACAGTTTCTCGAGGGTCGTGACAAGTTAATTTAGGGTGTGATTTATAGGCCCCCAAATCTTGAGAGGGAGTATGGTAAACTACTATGGGATGAAATTAATGAGGTGTCTAGATATGAAAATGTTCTGTTAATGGGAGATTTTAACTTTTGACAAACTAACTGGAACAATATGACAGGAAATCTGGAGTCTAGTGACTTTCTTGATATGATTCAGGATTGCTTTTTAAAAGTTTGTGACAAAACCAAAAATTTAGAGGAAACAATTTTTGACTTGGATTTGCCAAAGGAAATCCTAATCAAAATTTTGGGGTTAATGATTGAGTTTGGGGAAAAGTGATCACAAATCACTTATTTTAAATAATCATGGAACTACCCAAAAAATTGCAAAAAGTCTGTCTCAGACTTTACTTTGCCCATTTCATGGACTAGAAAACCGGGTGGGCTAAAAAGGAAAAATGACTATGGGTCGGTAGGGGGGTTGGGTTTTCAATAGACATTTTTTAGAGCAAGTTTAGTTGCCAAGAAAAATTATGTTCCAAGTGGAAAAATAAATCAACAAAAAATTATCTCAGTGGTCAAAAGAGAGGCATATATATACCTCTCTTTTGACACACACACATGCGCACACACACACACACACACACACACACACACACACACCACACACACACACACACACACACACACACACACACCACAACACACACAATGGGACCAGACAACATCTCCCCGTGGGTCCTTAGAGAGGGAGCAGATATGTTGTGTGTGCCACTTACCACAATCTTCAACACATCCCTGGAAACTGGGCAACTACCTGAGGTATGGAAGACGGCAAATGTAGTTCCCATTTTTAAAAAAGGAGACAGAAAAGAGGCACTAAACTATAGACCTGTGTCATTGACGTGTATAGTATGCAAAATTTATGGAGAAGATTATCAGGAGGAGAGTGGTGGAGCACCTGGAACGGAACAGGAGTATAAATGCCAACCAGCACGGATTCACGGAAGGCAAATCCTGTGTCACAAACCTTCTGGAGTTTTATGATAAATAACAGAAGTAAGACAAGAGAGAGAGGGGTGGGTTGATTGCATCTTCTTGGACTGCAAGAAGGCCTTTGACACAGTTCCTCACAAGAGATTAGTGCAGAAGCTAGAGCATCAGGCGCATATAACAGGAAGGGCACTGCAATGAATCAGAGAATACCTGACAGGGAGGCAACAACGAGTCATGGTACGTAATGATGTATCACAGTGGGCACCTGTGACGAGCGGGGTCCCACAGGGTCGGTCCTAGGACCAGTGCTATTTTGGTATATGTGAACGACATGACGGAAGGGTTAGACTCAGAAGTGTCCCTGTTTGCAGATGATGTGAAGTTAATGAGGAGAATTAAATCTGATGAGGACCAGGCAGGACTTCAAAGAGACCTGGACAGACTGGACACCTGGTCCAGCAAATGGCTTCTCGAATTTAATCCTGCCAAATGCAAAGTCATGAAGATGGGGAGGGGCACAGAAGACCACAGACAGAGTATAGGCTAGGTGGCCAAAGACTGCAAACCTCACTCAAGGAGAAAGATCTTGGGGTGAGTATAACACCGAGCATGTCTCCGGAAGCACACATCAATCAGATAACTGCTGCAGCATATGGGCGCCTGGCAAACCTGAGAACAGCATTCCGATACCTTAGTAAGGAATCATTCAAGACACTGTACACCGTGTATGTCAGGCCCATACTGGAGTATGCAGCACCTGTTTGGAACCCGCACTTGATAAAGCACGTCAAGAAACTAGAGAAAGTACAAAGGTTTGCGACAAGGTTAGTTCCAGAGCTAAGGGGAATGTCCTATGAGGAAAGATTAAGGGAAATCGGCCTGACCACACTGGAGGACAGGAGGGTCAGGGGAGACATGATAACGACATATAAAAATACTGCGTGGAATAGACAAGGTGGACAAAGACAGGATGTTCCAGGGAGGGACACAGAAACAAGAGGCCACAATTGGAAGTTGAAGACACAAATGAGTCAGAGAGATAGTAGGAAGTATTTCTTCAGTCATAGAGTTGTAAGGCAGTGGAATAGCCTAGAAAATGACGTAGTGGAGGCAGGAACCATACACAGTTTTAAGACGAGGTTTGATAAAGCTCATGGAGCGGGGAGAGAGAGGGCCTAGTAGCAACCGGTGAAGAGGCGGGGCCAGGAGCTAGGACTCGACCCCTGCAACCACAAATAGGTGAGTACAAATAGGTGAGTATACACACACACACACACACACACACACACACACACATGCACACACAAACACACACACACACATACACAAACACACACACACACACACACACACACGAGAAGAAATTGAGGTGGATCTACGCCAGGACGTACATCGAGCTGGATCTACTCCAGGACGTCACATCGACCTGGACAATCTACACTGCTACAGCTGCACTACAAGTACTGTATCACCTATGAGTGGTTGTTTGGGTGTGGGGTCCAGGTTCCAATTAACCGCCAAGCTGAATGTGAATGGTCTAACTCTCATAGCACGATAAAGAATAGGCACTCAAGTATTCAATAAGGTTTAGCAAATGGTAATCCATTGAACAAGGCGATTAACTCACTATAAGCAGGTGATATAGGCAACACTGCAAGGGAGTCAGGTCACAAGAGGTTGTGGACACAAGCGACAACTGAGAATCTACATTACACTCCAAGCACAAGCCACCTACTTTTCAGACACATAATAAACCCACACATAATTCGACACATAATTACACACACACACACACACACACACACACACACACACACACACACACACACACTCACACACACATACACACCACACACACACACACCCACACCCACAACACACACACACACACACCACACAAACACACACACACACACACACCACACACAACACACACACACACACACACACAAACACACACACACCACACACACACACCCACATACACACATCACACACACACACACACACACACACACACACACACACACACACACACACACACACACTGTAAGTGCGGTAAGTCCCAGGAGGTTGGGGTGTCAGGTCACAAGAAGGTGTGGGCAGCCAAGGACCACTGAGACTTACCTTAAACGCACAAGCCACCTACCTTTCAGTACATAATAAACCCACACATAATTCCACACACAATTACACACAAAATTACACACTCACACACACACACACACACACACACACACACACACACACACACACACACACACACACACACACACACACACACACACATATCCAGACACACATACACTCCCCCCTCACCACCGACATCTCACTACTTCCCCTGATCCATCCCCTCCCTTGATCACCCTCCCCTCCCCCGTTCACCCCAAACCCTCCCCACCCCTCCCCA